ATAAACTGGTCGTTTCCTTTCTTATTTGTCCGGTGTCCACCATGCTTGGACCTTAGGCCGACTTATAGTACAGAATTTTAGGTAGAATCGTAAGGTCTATTGTGAGCTTTTTGAATGCCATCACTATTTTGACTGGTAGCTACTCAAGCTGGCGAGTGAGAATAGCTATAGAACTTTTCCCAGTTAGTTTTCCTATAGTTTCTGAAGGGTGGATTTATCTTCTTTGTGCAAAGGAGGACGAACTGTACATTGTAATGGCTTGTCTTTCCGTACGTCCGTCCGCTTATACGCTAACGAGTATATAATTTGCAACGGGCCAAATCGTACGACTATATATATAAGTATATGTATAGCACAGCTTCCAAGGGAAAAATAGAAAAAAAATTTTGTTTTATTTACTTATATATAGATACTTCAAGGTATAGTAAAGGATTACGCTTTTTTGGCTGATTATTCGTTTTTGAACGTTTCCGCGCAGAAGTTCGGCTGTAAAGTTGGCAATGTGGCACGTAGCGCCGGCCTGCTAGAACCTTATGCCGTCGATGTCTTCAAAAATTTACGGTTACGGCTTCTGATTCGTTTTCGAAGAAAAACGGGCCAATGATGCGTCCTGACCACATACTGACACTCGTTGTGGATGTAGTGGCTTCTCTAAGACGAATAACAAACACGGCATTCTGCTTATTGACGTAACCACCAAGTTTGAAATGAGCTTCATCTAAAAAAATTTATTTTAGAATAAAATTACCATCTTTAACCAAGAGCTCTTCGACCCATTGCGCAAACTGAACGTATAAAATGGTCTTTGACAAATAAACAGCAATGCTGGGGCTTTTCAATAAAAAGGAAATATTTCCAAAATATCAACCCGTTTTTTACAGCCATTTTAAAACGCAACTTTTTCGTGGACCACCCTGTAATAGGCACCTTTTTTAGTTTTTTTACTTAAGACGTGCTAATATTTTATTCGTACATTTTAAATCCTATTTCCTTAGAGTTACAAAAAAAAACATATGTTAATAACCGTTCAACTTTTTTCGAAATACTTTTTTCAATACAATTAGGGCTGAAAAGAACAACCAAATAATAAGACATCTTTATTTGCGCAGTTATAATTTCAAAGTGTTTTATTTCATTAAGTTTCTTAGCAGAAAACATCGGTGAGATTCGTATTCTAGTCCTATATATGACCTACGCAGAGACCGCAACTTTGACCACCGCACAAGTCCTTTGTGCAGAATGGGAAACATTTTAAGAGATAATAATTTGAAGGCTCGTGTGGCCTGCTCTGACAGATAACAAGTGGTTTAAGCAACAGATCGTAAATTATGGTTCTAGATCCATTGGCAATCTGTGAATCTTATAATAGTGATTATTATCTTATTTCTAATGTCCCACGAAGTGGCTTGTTTATCCATAACTTGGGAAACATTCTAAAGTGCGATAAGAGTGATATAGCTAAAGAAATTCTGTGACCGTTCGCAGGAGGTCTTTTTGGATATTATGTGTATATGTTTTTTGTGTATCGCAACCAATTAATGTTTTGTTAAAAAAAAAATAAACTTCTACGACTCTGCTATTATATCTTTCCAAACCTAAATTTTAAACAAATGCGTTTTTTGCAGCAGTATTTTAACATATATATGTCACTTCATTTGTTTATTCGTTTTATTAAATAATATATAACAAGAAAGGGAGCAAACATCATATATCGAAGATTATTCAAATCAATTGAAAAACAGCGGACTTCTTTTTTTTCTGGGGGCTATATGATATTATCGTCCGATTTTAATAAAGTTAGAACTCTAGGTTCTGAAATATTAAAACATTACTAGCGGCACATTCAAAGATTCACACGGATTCCCAGACCCGTTCCAGTTTTCACTTCCGAAAGATTCATACGGAATCTAAATTCCCTCTGTTAATTCTCTGTTAATTCTTTCGAAAAAAAAAACACTGAAGCTTTGTGCCAAGCAATTGTCTGGACTCAATTCCGCAAGAAGATAAGTTAATTATTGAAAAATGCATTGCGATAAGATAAATGTTATTTTTATTTTATATTTTTGATGACTTAACATTTTGCTCTCAGAATCAGTTTTGTATTAGCCTTCATCATTTTTGTAAATCCGCCGTCTTTGTTCTACTTTCAAAACGAATTTAAGACAAGGGTTGTCTTGGTACAAGCAAGTCCCTTTGTGCTCTTTAAATGTGGAAAGATCTTTAATGTAAGTAAAATTTTTAAGATTTTTTTTTTCTTTTTACCACTTAATTAAATGTACTATTTGTGCGGGAAGTTTTTTTTTTTACTTTTTTTTATTTTCTTCGGCAACTCTTTCACAACACTGCCACCAGAAGTTTTCAGTAATGGCTAGAAAGCTGCTGTCACAATTACAAATTTTAGAAGATGAGTATTTGTGGCCGCCAATGCCAGTTCCTTCGATTTAATGCGTTTGGGTTATAAAATGTTGGAAGACCGAAAAAAACGAATTTTTCAGAATATTTTTTAAGAAAACATCTCAATTTATTGACCTAAAAATTTTTTCATATTAAGGTATCTTTTAACTGTATCTCCGAAATGCCAGCGGGCATTTCAATCAGCCCTAGGGAGGCCAGTCAGCTGATTGTGTTGGGGAACACAAAGGAACCAATTGAAGAAGGGAAATTCGATTATGTTGAAGATAATTACGATAGTGTTAATAAATTCGCTTTCCTGTATATCTGAAAGAAACATATTTAATGACAATTAGATAACCGATTATTAAATAACCTTTCATCAGCTTATAAGCTTCAAACTAAATATGGCCTTCAAAAACAATTGGGGTCTCGGTGACGCCATCTGTCAAACTGCTTTCCCAACATTAAAACTAAGAGCGTGTGGTACCCCCACCCCCGCTTACAGTTTTTCCGTTCTGTCTTTACATCAGCGATCACCACGGCCCTATCTAATGAGCAAAGGATAGTTTTTAGCGGCAGATCAGCGGCGTAGGACTTTATAACTAACAAGGAAGGAAGCAAACTTCGGCAAGCCGAAGTTCTTATACCCTTGCAGCAAGAATTAAATATTTTTGAAAACATTAAAATTAAGATTTACTTGCGTATATGTTTAAAAACATTGAAGCTATGATGATTTGCAGCTCAATTATTAGATAGTTATTTTATATATTTATATTATTTCTATGGGAGCTATATAATATAGTCGTCCGATTTTGATAAAATCTAAACCATAATTCTGAAATATTTAACCATTGCTATATGTCGAAGAACTGAACAAAAAATTAAAAAACAGAAAAGTTATAATTTTTTTCATTTATTTTTCCGATTGTTCATATAGGAGCTATATGCTATAGTCGTCCGATTTTGATATAATTTAAACCGTAAATCGAAAATATTTAACCATTACTAAGTGTCGAAGGACTAATAAAAAAAATTAAAAAACAGCAAAGTTATAATTTTTTTTGTATTTTTTCCGATTGTTCCTATGGGAGCTATATGATATAGTCGTCCGATTTTGATGAAATTTAAAACGTAATTCTGAAATAGTTAACCATTACTATATGTCGAAGAAATAAAAAAAATTAAAAAACAGCAAAGCTATATAGCTATATGCTATAGTCGTCCGATCCGGCTCGTTCCGACTTATATACTACCTGCAATAGAAAGACAACTTTTGGGAAAGTTTCATGCAGATAGCTTTAAAACTGAGAAACTAGTTTGCGTAGAAACGGACGGACAGACGGACATGGCTAGATCGACTCTGCTAGTGATGCTGATCAAGAATATATATACTTTATAGGGTCGGAGATGTCTCCTTCACTGCGTTGCAAACTTCTGGCTGAAATTATAATACCATCTGCAAGGGTATAAAAACCTTGATCTTGAAAAATTTTGTGTCTACCGATAGATATGACCGAAAAACACACGCAGAGCCCAAAACCCAAGGTCTAACTTGTCTCAGAGTGGAATGACAGAGTTTTCGCGATTTTTGGGGATTAGAATTTTCGAGGCCTCGTTTTAAAATGCACTTGCGCTGCGTAAGAAAGTATTAATAGAATCTGCATGACAAATCTTTAATTTCTAGCTTTTGTAGTTTCCGGAGTCTCGACGTTTATACGGACTGACGGACAGTCAGACGGACAAATCATATGACCGCCTACATGTTTAAAAGATATTTAAGTCGCGTCCGAAATTACCAAAATGTATTGTACAATAAAAAACACAAAGTTATTTTAATTATCGGTTGATTGTCACCTCAACAAAAAGTATCATGACATTGATTTCTATAGCCTTATAGCCATGTCCCGCTCATCAAAAATTTAAATTTTTACCGAATTTATGCTATGTTGGCAACAAACAAGTTCGACCTAAAAACAAATTTGTTAATGAGTATTGTGTTTAACTATTAAGATCAGGGATGCTCAAAGCTGTCTCGTGGCTGTGCATTTACCAACACATTTAAAATAGATCACGAACACAAGTAACAAAGTGAGTGTATCCATTAAGACTTATCAGTAACGAATTGGACCGCAAGAAAGAAACGAAACATTTTTAGAGTATAGCTAATTGTGCCCAGCAAACATATTGTGCCGTCTCTCACATCTCCATTAGCATTGTGCATTTACAAAAACAATTGTCTATATCAACTGGTCAAATTATTCTGATGAAGAATACATGTACAACCTTGTTTTTACAAATTTTTCAAGCAGTGAAACATACATTTCCGACCCTTTAAGGAATTGACAGCTGTATGATGTTGTCCAATTTAATTAAATTCCGCCGTTCCTATGTATATATACCCCCTGCAAGGAAAGTTTCATCTTAAAAACATTTCAATTGTGAGATAAATTTGCGTAGTATCGCACAGGCAACCATACATAATTTTTGACTTGCCTAATGATGCTTATATGTTTCCTTGCGTTGCAAACTTCAGACTAAAATTATAATATAGTATTCAAGGGTAACTGTGAAAATCACTTATGGGAATTATTTTTCTTTAATTTTAGTTCCTGCTGAAGACATTTGGCGTGGAGTAACAGCGGTTAGCAATGCTGGAAAGAAAAGAGGCCGCGGAAAAGGAAGTGGAAAGAAAGTTGCAAAGGATCTAAACAAAGGACAAACCATCGGCCTCGGAAAAAGCAGTCGCATATGGCCTGGACTAAATTCACCTGTTATACGTGGAAATGAAGTTATTCACCAGCAGAAGCTTGACAAAAATTTAGATATAGAAAATGGAGTTATGAAAATACGTGATTCAATGGGAAATTTCAGATTAATGAAGTTAAATCCAATAGATCGAGGTTGGTCTGGAAGTAAAATGCCTGGACGAAGTATTGGGTCGCCTGACCCTATTGGTGAAGAAGAATTTATTTCATTTGATACTCGAGTCTTGGAAAACAAAATTGTTTTTATTATGAAAGGAAATATGGGAAGAAAACGAAGGTATTCTGTCTTGTCGGTCACAGGAAATGGTAAGGGCTTGGCAGGATTTGCTACTGCTAAAGCGCCAGAAGTTCGAACGGCTCTTCGAAAGTCTAAGAATCGAGCAGGACAAAAACTAATCAACATAAACCTTTGTGAAAACAGGACTATTTACCATGATTTTCGTACAGACTTTGGACAAACCAAAATTTATTGTTTTCAAAAACCTTATGGATATGGATTAGTTTGCCATCGGTCAATACAAACAATTTGTAAAGTTATAGGTATAAAAGATTTGTATGCCAAAATTGAGGGGTCAACGAACCTTCAGCACATTGTAAAGGCATTTTTTATTGGTCTAATGAGTCAAAGGTCTTATCAAGACATTGCTAATAAAACCAATTTTAACATTGTTGAACAGCAAAAGACGAGGAATGGATACGCAGAAGTAAAAGGAATCCCGTCTTACAATTCAACTTCCGTTCATACCCAAATTGCTGACTATATGCATTTTACCTTAGGAAATAAAATTGTTTTAAAACAAAAAGCTATCTTACCATTCTATGCTTTTACAAAAGGACACGAACTGCACCAAATTAAAGCAGAGCGTTTTCGAAACCAAGCTGGTGTTCGACTACACAAGCTAGTAAATTTATATGCTTAACTTATAAAACCCTAAATAAAGACTTTATAAATTGAATATTGTAGTTTCTTGAGTTTCTTTGGTTTTTTTAAAACCATTTTTTTATTGAATAGCCCCGACATTGCGTTTTATTTTTAGATGGGCACTTCGTTAATGTGGCTGCCCCGGGAGGCCTAGGTCATCCCATCGAACCAATTTTTCAGCACATTTTCTATAAAAAGATCCTTAATGGCATTAATGACGACTTTAACCTTGTACTTTAGATAGTCAATCGTCTCAAGATGGTTGGCTTAGCACGTATTCTTGACGGCACCCCGCAAAAAAAAAAAAAATCAAACGGGATGAAATCGCAGCTGTGAGGCGGATGACGTGATAGCGCTTACCACTGACTGATTCTTTTTCAAACACAAACGGGCCAATAATGCCGCCTGACCACATACCGCACCAAACAGTAACTCGTTGTGGATGCATTGGCTTTTCCTAGACCACTTGCGGGTTTTCGATCCCCAAATGCGGTAAGTATTGAAGCAACCATCGAGGTAAAAATGATCTGAAAAGATTATTTTTTGATAAAAAATTATATCCTTCCACCAAGCACTCTTTTGCCTATTGCGCGAACTGAAAACGAATGAAGTGTTCTTCCACAAGTAAACCGCAATGTTTGGGCTATCCAATACAAAAAAATATTTACAAAGTATCAATCCTCTTTTTATACCCTTGCAGAGGGTATTATAATTTCAGTCAGAAGTTTGCAACGCAGTGAAGGAGACGTTTCCGACCCTATAAAGTATATATATTCTTGATCAGCATCACTAGGCGAGTCGATCTAGCCATGTCCGTTTGTCCGTCTGTCCGTCCGTCTGTCCGTCCGTTTATATGCAAACTAGTCTCTCAGTTTTAAAGCTATCTGCATGAAACTTTCCCAAAAGTTGTCTTTCTATTGCAGGTAGTATATAAGTCGGAACGAGCCGGATCGGACGACTATAGCATATAGCTCCCATAGGAACAATCGGAAAAATAATTGAAAAAAAATTATAGCTTTGTTGTTTTTCAATTTTTTGTTTAGTTCTTCGACATTTAGTAATGGTTACATATTTCCGATTTACGGTTTAAATTTCATCAAAGTCGGACGACTATATCATATAGCTCCCATAGGAACAATCGGAAAAATAAATGAAAACAAGAAAGAAAGCAAACTTCGGCAAGCCGAAGTTCATATACCCTTGCAGCTATCGCAAGAATTAAATATTTTTGAAAACATTAAAATTATGATTTACTTGCGTATTTAAACCATAATTCTGAAATATTTAACAATTGCTATATGTCGAAGAACTAAAAAAAAATTAAAAAACAGCAAAGTTATAATTTTTTTCAATTATTTTTCCGATTGTTCCTATGGGAGCTATATGCTATAGTCGTCCGATTTTGATGAAATTTTAACCATAATTCTGAAATATTTAACCATTGCTATATGTCGAAGAACTAAACAAAAAATTAAAAAACAGCAAAGTTATAATTTTTTTCAATTATTTTTCCGATTGTTCCTATGGGAGCTATATGCTATAGTCTTCCGATTTTGATGAAATTTTAACCATAATTCTGAAATATTTAACCATTGCTTTATGTCGAAGAACAAAACAAAAAATTAAAAAACAGCAAAGTTATAATTTTTTTTCAATTATTTTTCCGATTGTTCCTATGGGAGCTATATGCTATAGTCGTCCGATTTTGATGAAATTTAAACCATAATTCTGAATTATTGAACCATTGCTATATGTCGAAGAACTAAACAAAAAATTAAAAAACAGCAAAGTTATAATTTTTTTTCAATTATTTTTCTGATTGTTCCTATGGGAGCTATATGCTATAGTCATCCGATCCGTCTCGTTCCGACTTATATACTACCTGCAATAGAAAGACAACTTTTGGGAAAGTTTCATGCAGATAGCTTTAAAACTGAGAGACTAGTTTGCATATAAACGGACGGACAGACGGACAGACGGACGGACAGACGGACATGGCTAGATCGACTCTACTAGTGATGCTGATCAAGAATATATATACTTTATAGGGTCGGAAGCGTCTCCTTCACTGCGTTGCAAACTTCTGACTGAAATTATAATACCCTCTGCAAGGGTATAAAAATTATAACTTTTCGGTTTTTTAATTTTTTGTTTAGTTCTTCGACATATAGCAATGGTTAAATATTTCAGAATTATGGTTTAAATTTTATCAAAATCGGACGTCTATATCATATAGCTCCCTTAGAAATAATAAAAATATATAAAATAACTATCAAATAATTGAGCTGCAAATCATCACAGCTTCAATGTTTTTAAACATATACGAAAGTAAATCATAATTTTAATGTTTTCAAAAATGTTTAATTCTTGCAATAGCTGCAAGGGTATATGAACTTCGGATTGCCGAAGTTTGCTTTCTTTCTTGTTTATTCCCATTTTGATAAGCATATTTTTCGTGTTGCACTCTTTATATTTGTGTACCAATTTAATCCATAAAATCATATCAATGGCTTATGCGGTTACAAATACATATTTTAAAATTGCAAGCAGCTGTTTTACCGTTTTGCGTGTTTTTTCACAATAAATATTTCAAAATACCTTGGCAACAGCTGAGGAAAAAACCAATGTCTAAATAGATTCATAAAATTTTCGACCGTATGCTATAGCTCGTTTAAATTGAATGAAGAATTGGAATATATGTCAGAAGCTTGACAAAAATTAAGATATTGAAAATGGAGTTATGAAAATACGTGATTCAATGGGAAATTTCAGATTAATGAAGTTAAATCCAATAGATCGAGGTTGGTCTGGAAGTAAAATGTCTGGACGAAGTATTGGGTCGCCTGACCTTGTTGGTGAAGAAGAATTTATTTCATTTGATACTCGAGTCTTGGAAAACAAAATTGTTTTTATTATGAAAGGAAATATGGGAAGAAAACGAAGGTATTCTGTCTTGTCGGTCACAGGAAATGGTAAGGGCTTGGCAGGATTTGCTACTGCTAAAGCGCCAGAAGTTCGAACGGCTCTTCGAAAGTCTAAGAATCGAGCAGGACAAAAACTAATCAACATAAACCTTTGTGAAAACAGGACTATTTACCATGATTTTCGTACAGACTTTGGACAAACCAAAATTTATTGTTTTCAAAAACCTTATGGATATGGATTAGTTTGCCATCGGTCAATACAAACAATTTGTAAAGTTATAGGTATAAAAGATTTGTATGCCAAAATTGAGGGGTCAACGAACCTTCAGCACATTGTAAAGGCATTTTTTATTGGTCTAATGAGTCAAAGGTCTTATCAAGACATTGCTAATAAAACCAATTTTAACATTGTTGAACAGCAAAAGACGAGGAATGGATACGCAGAAGTAAAAGGAATCCCGTCTTACAATTCAACTTCCGTTCATACCCAAATTGCTGACTATATGCATTTTACCTTAGGAAATAAAATTGTTTTAAAACAAAAAGCTATCTTACCATTCTATGCTTTTACAAAAGGACACGAACTGCACCAAATTAAAGCAGAGCGTTTTCGAAACCAAGCTGGTGTTCGACTACACAAGCTAGTAAATTTATATGCTTAACTTATAAAACCCTAAATAAAGACTTTATAAATTGAATATTGTAGTTTCTTGAGTTTCTTTGGTTTTTTTAAAACAATTTTTTTATTGAATAGCCCCAACATTGCGTTTTATTTTTAGATGGGCACTTCGTTAATGTGGCTGCCCCGGGAGGCCTTAGGTCATCCCATCGAACCAATTTTTCAGCACATTTTCTATAAAAAGATCCTTAATGGCATTAATGACGACTTTAACCTTGTACTTTAGATAGTCAATCGTCTCAAGGTGGTTGGCTTAGCACGTATTCTTGACGGCACCCCGCCAAAAAAAAAATTAAACGGGATAAATTCGCAGCTGTGAGGCGGATGACATGATAGCGCTTACCACTGACTGATTCTTTTTCAAACACAAACGGGCCAAAAAATTATCTCCTTCCAGCAAGCACTCTTTTGCCTATTGCGCGAACTGAAAACGAATGAAGTGTTCTTGCACAAGTAAACCGCAATGTTTGGGCTATCCAATACAAAAGAATATTTACAAAGTATCAATCCTCTTTTTTATTCCCATTTTGATAAGCATATTTTTCGTGTTGCACTCTTTATATTTGTGTACCAATTTAATCCATAAAATCATATCAATGGCTTATGCGGTTACAAATACATATTTTAAAATTGCAATCAGCTGTTTTACCGTTTTGCGTATTTTTTCACAATAAATATTTTAAAATACCTTGGCAACAGCTGAGGAAAAAACCAATGTCTAAAAAGATTCATAAAATTTTCGACCGTATGCTAGAGCTCGTTTAAATTGAATAAAGAATTGGAATATTTATGGATGACCGAATTTTTGATCCGGTAAACTACCTTAAAAAGGAATTCATTGAAATATATAGAACAGAAATCCCTTACCAGTAAAGTCCAGTGGAATTTTATGTTTAAAAGTTTCCCCATTTGCATTTAACTATCTAATTTTTCAAATCCTCACCTCTTTGAGTACAAAGACTCAAATTGTGAATTTAATTATGTGACTGCGTCTAAATGAGATTGCTTCAAAATATTTATGGTTAGAGCGGCGAAAATGCTGTAGGTTGAATAGTGATTAGAACAGTTTGGTTGCTGTTGGTTGCCTGTACACTAATATTAAGTTTGTAAACTAAATTTTCTGATAAGTTATCATAAATTTTAATTTAACTAATATTTTTTTTTTATTAATAATATTTTGGTTTATTATTCTTGTATTGGTATTCTAAAATTTCAATAAATTAACTATTTAATAGACTTGAGCTCCTAACTGCTTTTGCTCGCACAATTGCTCCGTTGTCCACTCACTTTAATTGCTTTATTGTTCTTGTTCTTTATTTCTCAATGTTTTTTTACTCAGTGGTTCGTTGGTTCGTTGATCGTTGATTTCGTGCATCGACCCCCACTGGCACGCTAATGTGAAGTTCAAATGGTGGCAGCGGGACTTCATGCCTTAAAAATAGTTGAGGAACCCAATTTAGAGAAATTTGTCCAAAACGTGTCCCATTGCCCTGGCTGCGAGTTGCCGACTTTGTTCCTTTGTTCCTTCAAATTTTGATTTCCTTTATAATTTTTTTAAATAATGAAAAACAAGTTAATAAAAATAATAGTTGAAAATCGATTACCATTACTGAAAACGATTTATCAAGTAACTCTAGAAACACGTCCTAATAAAAATGCTACTCTCTTTCTTACTCTCTCTAGAAAAATTATCATCCTTAAATATTTCGGTTGCAGTGGTTGTTGAGGATTTGCAAAACGATATGGCCCACTGATTCAAAGGCACAAAGTCATAAAAACTTGATGGAATAAGCAAGCGGGCCAAATAATCTTTCGAATTAATTTCCTTTATCGTCGCTTATATCATGTTTGTTTGCTAGCAACGTCTGTTTTTTGCGAAAGCCTTTTTTCTGCACTTGGCGAAGTATTTACAAAAAGGCGAGCTAAGATTAATTAAGTCAGGAACCGAAAAACTGGGCAACTGACCAAGTGAGAAACTTAACAAGTGAGCGACTTAATAACTAAACAACTGAGAAGTTGAACAAGTAAGTGAACAAAGTGAGTGAGGTCATTAAGTGAGTCATTAAAAAGTAAGCAACCGATCCTTTTTACGAAAGAGAACCGTCTACCAATGATAAGTCTGTCCACTTTCAGTTCCATTAACCATTGTCTTTCCAAAAGTCCATCGATCTATGCATCCATTCAGCAATTTTGAAGGAATCCTTCATTATTCCACTCCATAAAAGAGGCATCGGACTATTAGTAACTACCAAAGCATAGCCAAACTTAGCGCTATTCCTTAACCAAACTTATTCCATAGCTTTTTGAAAAACTTATTTGTGAAGAACTCCAGCATAACAAATAACCAACTAGAATTCACTACCTTCATTTGTCAAGGGTTCTTATCTTCAAAACAAACTTATGTGATTTTTACTGACTTCAGCAAAGCCTGCCATAGGCGCCTCATCCTTAGATTCCATCCAGCTCTTTTGATGGACCTAATAGGTCCAATACAATGGCATACATTCTAAAACAGTCTTTTTTTTATGTATCCCAAAGGGTAGTGACCTTGGTCCATTATTATTTGGCTTATTTATTTATGATCTTCCTCACATAATCGGGTCCTGCTAAGTTTTGATGTATGCGGATGATTAAGGTTGAGTATGCAAATGGCATCGTCTGGTTCTTACATAAAGCTCCAGCTCGACTTAAATTCAATCCTTCAATCCTGGTGCCAAGTCGATAAGCTACTGCTCAATCGAGATAAATGTAAATCCATGTCACTTTATAGATTCAATCCAATTGTTCACACATACTCTATTGGAAAATCCGTGCTCGAACGTATTGAAACTATCCAAGATCTAGGTGACTTGTTCGATCATAATATATATTTATATTTATATTGAACATATTAAAATTTGTTTGATAACTTAAGATATTTCTTAATCTAACAAAAATGTTATTATTACTTTTACATTTATTTATTGCTATAATTACAGTGTTGCAATAATTTAACTAATTTTAATTTCATATTTATTCTATTTATTTATTTTTGATATGCTTTAATCGACACATTACCATTTCCAACAAAGCTAAGAGTCTGGTCCAAGGAATTTGATGATCCTTGTATCATAAAGCTCCATTATGTTTCATTAGTTCGCCCAACGCTCAAGCATATGGTCTCCACAATATTAACCTTATCCAGATATGGTAGAATCAGTCCAGAAACAGTTCCTTTTATTTCCATTCCGAGGCTTAAACTGGGAATCAGGACGCCGACTTCCTTCCTACAGTGACAGACTGCTTCTTTTGGACCTGCCAACATTAAGGATCGTCGTATTTGTTGCGGAGTGAATTTCCTTTATTACTGGCGTTGTGGACTCATCTCAACTGATAAGCTCATTGAATTGGAATGTTCGTCAATTCCGTCCATTACTACCGGTGTGCAGATCAAAGTACTCCCGTTTTGATCCGTTCTGTGTTCTCTGCGACAAATATATTTAACTTTATCACGCTCATATAATTTAAACTCTAGTAGAGTCCGAACTTGACGCTGCCATTGTAGTTTATGTAGTTTAGCTGTGTTTTCAAAGTATAATGGTTCTCTGCAATCAGAAGACAGGAACGTTCTTGGTATGCTAGATACCAGCAGAAGATTATTTTAGAGTTGGCTGATGTATTTTAGCAGCCCCACTATGGTTTTATTCCGTTTTTTTTTTTAAATAAACTCTAATTGTAAACCTTTTGAATTGAAATTTGGTTTGCATACATTTTTTAAGCTCCCAATATGGCCTACTAAGTTTCAAATGATTTGGGGCACTATTTCATATAGCTGCCATATAACCGGTCTGGCCGACATGCAAAAAAGCTCCATTAAACATTTTTATTTCAAATTTTCTATATATCAAATGAAAAAAAAATAATTATCATAGATCACATTTTAGTATTCATCTCCATTATTAGTGCTTAATTCTGAAAGTAAAGATACATTTTACAAAATTTTAAATAAGTATGGTTATGTTACTTACTATAGAAGTTACTCAATTTTCTTCTAGCTCAAAGTATTCATCTTCTGAAGCAATAACCTCAAGTCCGTCCAGTTCTTCAAAATAATCGTCGGACGAATTCTGTGTGGAATCTGGATCATCATTATACCTTTGCAGAGGGTATTATAATTTCAGTCAGAAGTTTGCAACGCAGTGAAGGAGACATCTCCGACCCTATAAAGTATATATATTCTTGATCAGCATCACTAGTAGAGTCGATCTAGCCATGTCCGTCTGTCCGTCCGTCTGTCCGTCTGTCAGTCTGTCCGTCTGTCCGTCCGTTTATATGCAAACTAGTCTCTCAGTTTTAAAGCTATCTGCATGAAACTTTCCCAAAAGATGTCTTTCTATTGCAGGTAGTATATAAGTCGGAACGAGCCGGATCGGACGACTATAGCATATAGCTCCCATAGGAACAATCGGAAAAATAAATGAAAACAAGAAAGAAAGCAAACTTCGGCAAGCCGAAGTTCATATACCCTTGCAGCTATCGCAAGAATTAAATATTTTTGAAAACATTAAAATTATGATTTACTTGCGTATTTAAACCATAATTCTGAAATATTTAACCATTGCTATATGTCGAAGAACTAAACAAAAAATTAAAAAACAGCAAAGTTATAATTTTTTTTCAATTAGTTTTCCGATTGTTCCTATGGGAGCTATATGCTATAGTCGTCCGATTTTGATGAAATTTAAACCATAATTCTGAATTATTTAACCATTGCTATATGTCGAAGAACTAAACAAAAAATTAAAAAACAGCAAAGTTATATTTTTTTTTCATTTATTTTTCCGATTGTTCCTATGGGAGCTATATGCTATAGTCGTCCGATCCGGCTCGTTCCGACTTATATACTACCTGCAGTAGAAAGACAACTTTTGGGAAAGTTTCATGCAGATAGCTTTAAAACTGAGAGACTAGTTTGCATATAAACGGACGGACAGACGGACAGACGGACGGACAGACGGACATGGCTAGATCGACTCTACT